CGGAATATTTTGTGACATCTAGTACATTCATAGAGGTCATTGTAAGGGGTCCAAGGAGCAGCAACTGAAATCCTGTGAAATGCTTGTTGATACACACCAGGCTGATGAGTAGAAACAGAGAAAGCAGGAGAAGACTCTACCTGGTTCCCCACTGATAGTGAAGCATAAGGACTTAGTTGAGATATGGTGGTAAGGTTTTCAGAAAATGCTTCTGCTAGGTGCCTTCTTGAAGGACTAGATAATGGTGAACTAGAATTTGTATCAAGCAGCATATCTTCAGATGGTTCTGCATTTAAATYTATATCTCTTCTACGTTTAACTCCTTCATAAACAGTACTGCTAATGGGAATTACCTCTTTTGTTGTTGTAGAAATTGCCAATTCTTTAGAAAGAATGATGAATTGTAGGCCCCTCAATCTCTTTGGGTCTTCAGTTAGAGACTGATCATCATCTTTGACAGAATTTAAACCATGTGCAGTAGAGTTTGAAGTTGGAATGCATGTTGATGGCCTTGATCCTCCTGCAATCACAGTTGCAGGTGAATGCTCGATCGGAGTAGATAGCGTGCTCCAAATCTCATTTGTTCTTCTCTCATTCATCGTCTCCATATATGCCCGCTCGCCGGAGCACTTAAGAGATGCTCACTGCCCTGAGAATTGTTCTGTTTCAGTAAGTTCATTCATGATCAAACCTAGCTAATGGGAAATTTTGGGTTAGAACAGGAGTGGTCACAGGTGTGTCAAAAGGATAGAGGAGAAAAGAGGAACTAATGGGAAATGCTTGAATAGTCTACAAAGGCTAATAAGCTCTAAGGGTTTCCAATAGGAGTTATGGGTGTTAGTTTCTTGAGAAGTAAATTAGAGAATCTTCTTTAAAGAACAGAAAACAAAGACCATTTACTAACTTTTGGATGCTACTACTGTATTAGTTATGATATTCCATTCTTTTTCAAGTAAAGATAATAGAAAAGTCTGTCATCCAGCTAACAATATAAATGTAGCAGCCACTACTCACACGTGTTAAACCAACATACTTCCTTTYTTACCTAGAAACTAAACCGGACACTGAACCGGCAGTAGACTCGGTTTCTTTCTTATCCCACTCTCAAATAGAAGTTTTCTTCTTCATATACGTGTATACCCACTCAAAAAAAGTGAAAATAACCACTAAATTGAACACGGATCCAAGCAATATTAGACTCGGTCTGATCCTTCACGGTTTATTTCGGTTCAATTCATTTAAATAATGTATATGACATATGTAGTGGTGTGATTAATAATGTCAAAACAATACATGATAGTCACAGAATTGGAATGCTAATTTATTGAATCATGACTTAATAACTTAACCAAACACAGCCTAAGAAATTAATGAGAGAAAACGGGGAGGCATATGGCTTGACCTTGACTGATGATGATAATATTAATCAATTTCCATAAAGTGAAATTGAAGTTAGCACATGTGGACTTCACGAAGAACAAGGAAGAACTAAACACTAGGGTTGAGGTAACAAGATCAAACTCCAACAAATTGTTCTCCATCTGGAACGTCCCAATCACCACCGCTTGATCAGCTGTCTCCCCACCATCAACGAATGCCAAGCATGCCACGTCAACGCTCACTTGCTTCATGGAGTTTGATCTGAATATGGTCCACTTCACCCCATTGACTAGCTCAGATCTATCTGATGACGAAGTCATGCACCAAGATCTACAACTAGGAGAAAGGTCAGAGAGGTTCAAGGAGTTGTTCCCTGGGTAAGTACTCTGGCACTCAAGTCAGTAGGAGTAGAGAAGGATGCGGTCGGGACAAGCAAGTTGAGATAGTGCTGGTCCAAGCCAAAAAGATAGTGCAAAGAGGTATTCAAAGAGTGTCGTTCCAAAAGTCCCTTACCTCGAGCGGAGAATACCTACTTATAGTTGGGTGTTCGTGTCCCAGGTGGATAGGGCTTCTGGGGTTGTCGAGATGAGAGCGTCCGCCGAGGTTTTCGGGAGGTTTCCTCTTCCCTGGCAGAGTCCACTTCCTTGTCTGTGCACAACACTCCTTTGTAGTTGTGCTTTTTCATTACGCGTGGCGTTGATGTGGCCTGAGAGGGGGGGGCGACGGCCATGGAGATAGCCACGTGGCATCCTTGGCCAGCTCAACCATCACCCGAACAACACTCCCCCATTTCTGAAGTCGATGAGTGTAGTGCTTGGTCGCAGCTAGGCGTGGAAGAGTTCTGCAATCCTCTACTGAGGAACTTTAGTTTTTTTGAGCTGACTAGCCTGCGGTAAAACCGGTTTGTTGGGAAGACTAGCTGATTTACTGCTCATGCCGTTTCTATTATGAGTCGACAGACGCATTGTTTCATCTTCCCGAGGTCATGTGTGTGCGAAGTGCGGCGTCGAATTGACGTTGTTGATTTGGACCGTTGGTCGCCCCTATAAAAGGGGAGGTGGCAAGCCCTTTTACATTGTCATTTTGAGTGAGTGACCATAGGAGCTCGACGAGTGTTAGTCCTCAGCTGGTGTTTCAAGTATTCCACGGTGTAGTTCTTTGATAAGATGTCTTCATCTTCCTCCTCGTGTGGCAAACTGGTTTTGCTCATTGCTAGAGAAGGGTTATGTGCAAGTATCCAAAGATAGCTATAGCTGTGGCGGGGTACGAACCCTTCAACACCGAGAAGACTCTAGAAGCGTCACCTACCCARAACGATGCCGCGGTTGCTGTCGAGGAAGCGAACCTTGTTGATAGCATGGCCAGCGCAGAATGACGCTTTTATATTCTCCCTTTTTTTGGTGTACTCAGCTCGATATGCCAGGCTCATTATTAATGTACTTACTTCGTTAATGAAAATCCATTTTTGTCGGGCATATCTCTTGTGCATTATTTGCTTTTTTTTTCAAGTTAGCATACTTCAGGGTTGGTGACGCTTGGTATTTTGCTGGTCGAGGTCTTTAGCTTAGTGGCCTCAGCATTATGCTGGATGGCCAAGGTCTTTGGCTTCGTGGCCGCGGTCTTACGTTGGCTGAGGTCTTTGGCTTTGTAGCCGTCCTCTTGCCATTATGTGGCGGGGACGTCGTTCCCACGGTGCCCGTCATGGGGCTTGTTCTAGCCTTGACCGTCTATTGTTGGTCAGGTCTTTCATGTGATGGTTGTCAGGCCTCAGCTGTTATAGGTCGATCGAGTCTTTGACAAGGTTGTCATGGCACTACGACTGTTGGTAAGCGCAGAGTTTGGTTGGATTGTGTGCGGGCATTTGATCGTCTATGCTTGTAGAAAATTCTTTATTTATTAAGTTTGTACAGCTCGGCCGCTGTTAGTGCTCAACGCCGATCGTTGGTACATCTTAGTACTGGCACTTCAGCTCTTTGGAGTAGGTCTTCCACGCCTAGTTTCCCCTTTAAGGGCCATCCCGCCCGAGATGATGACAATGACCTCGACTGGGGGAGCTTAGGCTCAGCGCTTGTTGGTGTGGCTCTTCTTTGGGTTTATGCTATTTGATATTTATAAGCCTAGGAAGGTATTCACATTGGACAAAGTCTTCAGGGTGGTGGCAAAGGTTGTGGCAGCTTTCGGTTCGATTGTTGATTATTTTGATTAAAACCAAATTTAATTAATATACATAAAATATTATATATTATAACTTATAATATATATTATGAAACCGAATTTCATTATAATACATTATATATAATATATTAATATATAAATATATAGCATATTATATATTATATATTACTGATTTGGATTTCCAAAACTGAAAATTTCAGTTCGATTTTTGGGTTTTAACCGAATAATGCTTACCCCTACCCTTAGGTCCCCTCTTGGCTCTGCCACTGCACGTGGAGAGAACCTGGGCCCCACTCCCTCCCACAGTAGGTAAATTGGATGACCGTATATCCATGTGGTTGTTGCTTGCCACTTTGCCACACGTGGATCAATCTCGGTTTCGTGTGCTTCTTCTTCTTATGTGAGCTCAACTCGGCAAGATGTGTTTTTACTAATCCAAGTTCAGCCCAATAGGATGTACTCCCACTAAACTGGTCTTCAACGACTTAGGAACGAATTGTAGCTGGTGGCATCCGAGGCGTACCATGTATTTTAATTCCTCACAAAAATAATTATAAATTTGTTTAGTAGTGATTATTATCATTGATTTTTTTTTTGTGTTTATAAGAATTATGTCAAAAAACAATTAAAATCAACTTTGTATTTATCTAAATTATATCCCATATCAAGGTTCAAAGTATCGATATGTATTGGCCGATACATATCGTTCTGAGACCCCTCTGATACGCCTCTACAATGGATGTATCAGGGGTCTAACCAGTTCAGGGTGTGAAGGAGGCCTAAACCAGCTCCCCTGAATCAATTGCAAAAAAAAAAAAAGTACCAAAAGCTGTATCGATTCACTTGATACGTTCATACGTATCAAACATATCAATATTTTGAACCTTACCCATATCCATGTCAAATAACATATCATTCAAAAATTAATCAGAATCAACATGAAAAAAAGGAATCATGAAATTTATTGATTTCTCTTTTTAGCCCAATTTTAATAATAATTTTATTATTGACGTGCCAACCAAACACTAAAATAATCAATGATGTGACTCCAACATAACCAAACAACACCTAAATTACCCATTCAAGATTTTTATGGATGAACTTGCCACAAATATCAAAATAATGAAACTATAAATAACCATACAAAAGCAAGCACAAATCATTTTTAAGTGGTTCTTGCTATGAAATTCGCCGGGAGAAAGTTGAGAGAAATAAATAACATAAGGCCATAAGGGTAATTTTAGGGTTTTTATTCAGAAAATTTAATTGAATATTTTATGAATCAATGTTAATGGTGGGGCAAAGTAATGAAATATAAAAGTTCAGGGGGTTTTATCGCAAAACAAAGTTTCGAGGGCTAAGAGGAACAACTTCAAAAGAATAGGGTAGCTCTCTGTAATTTACCCAAAAAACAGAAAGGAGTAAAACGAGAAAAATGTATGGATGGATCTTTCCTCAGTGGACCTGACAAGTCCTCAGTTTCGACCGAAGTCGCATCAAGCGACCGAGCAAGAAGGGAGAAGACTGCAGAGGCGAGAAACAGAGAGAAGCTCTGAGAGGGAGAGCAAGAGGCAGAGAGAATGCATTCGTTCGTGTACCGTGCCAACGCTTTACTAACTTTCGCCGTTACGATACTGGCGGTAATGTGCGCAATGGCCTCTTTCTCCGACAATCTCAATGTCCCCTCTCCCACTGCTGAAGTTCAGGCAAAACTCTCTTTCTCTGTCTTAAATCAGATCCCTATCTACCCATTTTCTCTTTCTTGCTGTTTGTCTCTTCCTCGATCTGTTTTGGGTTCAAAACCCTAGACAATTTATTGCCATGATCATGTCCAATTTTGTTTATCTCTATAGGTACTTAACATAAATTGGTTTCAGAAGCATCCAAACGGAAACGACGAGGTAATTTTTCCTCCTCCACCACCTCCTCCTCTTCTTCTTTGATTGGTTTCATTTTATCGTATTGTTTAATTAAAGATGATATCTATATATCGTTTTTTTACTGGGAACTCACACTTAGGGGTGAAACAAAGGAATCACCATGACGTCGTTATTAATTTGATAATTTGGTTCATGAGAGTTCTAGGTGATTATATGTTTTTTTTTCATTATTTTTTGAATTAAGTCCTGCTAATTGATGTTTGACTGACATATTTAAGGGCTTGGTATGTGACACAAGTAAACAAAAAGAAGGAAATTAAGATATAGAAGACTGTTCCGAGAGAGAATATAAGAATTAAGAGACAACTGAGAAGTCTCACCTCAACCTCGATCAAGATCTAGTGTTTTGGCAATATTAAATAAGAACTAATGATATCTCACTACGGGAGAAGCATATTAAATATCATTGTAGTAGAAAAAGACGAGTATTTTATTTATTCATCTTGTTCGGTACAATAAAAGGATCCAAACGTATAAACACTGGACTGGTGGGTGCCAAGCAATTCAGAGTCTGCTTAAAAACTCAAATAAGATTAAAAACTGTTCCTATTTTCCTTGGTAATGGTGATAGAAAATTAACAGGTGTAACCAGTCTGCCCTCTCTTGTTTTTGTTTTTTTTTTCTTCAAAGAAAAGTTCATCTTAAATCTTACCAGGGGTGGCATAGGGAGGAATGTATTGCACTGGGGGGCAGAGCTGCTCCCATCCCCTGTCCCCAAAGAAAAAGAAAAGAAAAGAAAAGCTGAGGAGCCTTTCTTTTAGATATGATGAATTGTAAACTGTTACACCAATGGATTGCCYTCCTCACTGATCAATTCTTTTGTGTGTGTGTGTGTGGATTCAATTCAATATTACATTCTTTAATTTGTCTTATGCAGGTCAGCTTGACATTGAACATGTCTGCCAACTTGCAATCAATGTTTACATGGAACACAAAGCAGGTTACAAATCAAAACAAAAGGGATTATTTTGCCTATGTTTGTGATGTTTATTAATCTATTTCACACTATTGAAGTAGATTTCTTTTATTTTATTTTCTGTATGATCTGTTAGTTAGAGATATGATTTATAAAGAATATCTCTTTTTTAAGTGATGCATTTCTTGGCATGCTATTTTACAAATATTTAAAGGTCTAGTCTACATAAATAAGTGAAAAAATACTGAAAATAATTATCTGAGGTACTTCATGAATTTCCATGTTTTTTGCCTAGCTATGATTGGATTGGAAGGAAATGGAGATATGGATGAAAAAGAAACCTCAGTTTTTGATAATTATGGCTGAGTGGAATTTCCTGTAAGGGGACTAGCTTTTTTTTTTTTTTTTTGATCAATCATAAGGGGACTAGCTATTCAAAAATCAGAATATACTGATTGGGCAGAAGGGACCTGTTTCACTTGGTGTCTTTGTTTATATATCATAATTTTGCACTTTAATGCCCTTCCCTTTAAGATTTCTGCGGGACTTGCTAGAACAGCCATCAAGATCCTTATTGATATTTATTGCTCGACAAGGACTTTTGGGTTCTTTAGCGATTGATATAGCTAATGACACAGTGCCTTAATTGCTTTGTGTTGCTCTTGCTTGTATTGATCTATGTTTTCACATTCAACTTGCCCCCTTGTCAATCAATTATTGGATTGTTTTGTTTTGTTTGTATTGTATGGAACAATACATGTATTTATACATAAAAGGGTTCCCAATGATGGCCTTGGTTTTATGGGGTTGGGAGGGGTAGCCTGGATACAGATCTAACCTTTGGCATTTTTTTTTTTTTTGCATCAAGTAGTTGCTCAAATTCATCAGACCAACCCTTTAAAAGGTAATAAAGAAAAGACAATGAGGCCATTAACCAATATTGGTCTTAGCTATCCAAGGCTTGGGAGAGTGGACTGGATGCAGATGCAATCTTTGACATTTTTGCACAAGGTGACTGTTTTCAGACTTGAATCTGCAATCATACACTTGTCAGCCTGAGATTTTACCATTGCACCATGTAATGGCCTATGTGTTTATACATGATATATAATAAATAAAATAAGAAAATTGAGGTATTATCTGGAAAGTAATTGAGTCCCATCTTTTGGCATCTGTGATTACAGCACCTCCTGTGTCCTGTTTGTGTCAGATTTTGACACTTGCAATTGAGTTCATTTAATGTAGACAGCCATGTTGAAGTTAAATCACCTGACTGGTCTGTCTTTTTCTTTTTGAGGTTTTCTTTTCTTATATTTTCTGTTCTGTTGGCAAGGAGAGCTTTATTAGGGAGAAGGAAACCTATAACTGAAAACTTTCAGGAAGACCAAATATTCTCCAAATTAGTCAGATTCTTTTTTTTTTCAGTAGATTGGGATGAGTTTTTGGGAAATTTAATTCTAAAAGCTCTACCTAGGGTAACCTATAACCATTGTCCCTTATGCCTTAATCAGGAAATTCCCCTAGGGGCCACACCTTTCAGATTGAAAATATGTGGTTGGAATTTCCAAAATTCATTGAACAAATAAAGGCTCGATGGGAGGACGATGGAATCAATGTGAGAAAAAGGGGGTGGAATTTGTTATGAAATTAAAGAGATTGAAAGAAAGGATCAAGGAATGGAAATAAAGAAGAATTTGGGAGACTATAATAATCAAAAGAGAGAATAGCTAAAAGGATAGAGGAGCTAGATTAGAAAGAAACCAGAAGGGAGTTTAGTGTGGATGAAAGAATGGAAAGATGGAGCGTAAAGGTGGAATTAGAAGGGATCTTAAGAAAGGAAGAAATCTCTTGGAGACCAAATTGAGATGTAAAAATGGCTGTTGAAAGGAGATGGCAATACAAAATCCTTTCACTCTTTGACAAACGGGAGGTTGAAGACCGGGTGATAGATAGGGAGGAGGAAATGGTTAAGATTTTTGTGAATCATTTTAAATCAATCTTTGTCACCTTAGGAAATAGACACCTTGATTTGGGGGATTTGGAGGATTTGGATTAGGACAGAGTGCCTGAGACACAAACAACTTTCATAGAAAGGAATTTCACCATGAAAGAGATTCATGAAGCAGTTTTCTCAATGGAAAGATCTAAAGCTTTGAGACCTGATGGTTTTTCAGTAGCCTTCTATCAAGATTGTTAGGAGATAATAAAAGATGATATGATTGAGTTGTTTTTTTTTTTTTGAATTCCATTGGAAAGGAAAATCTCACCAGGAGCAAATGCTACCTTCCTAGCTCTAGTGCCGAAAAAGAAAGAGGCTAAAACTCCAAAAGACTACAGACTCATTAGTCTCATAGGAAGCCTGCATAAGATTATTGCTAAAGTCTTGACAAGGGGGTTGGAAATTGTTTTTTCCCTCGATGATATCTCAAAATAAAGGAGCCTTTTTTGAAAGGGAGACAAATTATAGACCAAATCCTAGTGGCAAATGAGTTTGTGGCTGAAAAAAAGGAAGTTGGAGGAGAGAGGTCTAATTAGCAAGTTAGATTTGGGAAAAACCTATAATATGGTGGATTAGTCTTTTCTTCTTGACTTTTTGGAAAAGTTTGGCTTGAGAGGAAGATGGTGAAAATGGATCAAAGGGTGCATTAGCTCAGTACATTTCTCAATTTTGATAAATGGAGTAGCTAGGGATTTCTTTCTAGCAAAAAGAGGTTTAAGATAGGAAGATCCCATTTCCCCTTTCCTGTTCACATTTGTTGTTGAAGTTCTTAGTAAACTAATATTCAAGGCTGATCTAGAAAATCAGATAGGTTGTTATGCATCTACAATTTGTAGATGACATAATCATTTTCTGCGAGGATTGTGATGAATCTCGTGTAAGAAACTTGAAAGCTTTAGTAGATGGGTTCCAAATGACCTCAATGTTGAAAGTGAATTGGGGCAAGAGTTGTGTGGCAAGAATTAACATGGAAGAACAAGAAATTCAATTAGTGGCATGAGTGGTAGGTTGTGAGGTTAGAAATTAGCCTCTAGTGTATCTTGGTATGCCCTTGGAGAGTAATTCGAAAGCAAAAAGCTTTTGGGAATCGGTGGTAGAAAGATTTGCAAAGGAGTTAGCTTTGTGGAAAAGAAGTTATATATCCCTAGGAGGAAGAGTCACTTTGATCAAATTCACTTTAGCCAATCTACCTGCATATTACTTGTCCGCCTTTAGAATACCACCTAAGATAGCAAGGCAACTAGAAAAGTTCATGAGGATTTCCTGTGGGGACCAAGTGAAGGGAAAAAAGACCACTTGATAAAATGGGAGCAAGTGTACAAACAAAAAGAGTTGGGAGGTCTTGAGATTGGAAACATAATCAAAAGAAATACAACCCTCCTAGGAAAGTGGCTTTGGAGATACCCTGTAGGAGATAGGTTGTGGTATAGGGTCATTGAAAGCATTCATGGTGTTGCAGAAAATGGCTGGGATGCAAAGCTGGCACTTGCAGTTCATACACAAAATTCAAACAAAGTTGGGTCAAGTGAATAAATGGATAGAGCCCTATGGCTCTAATTATAGAGAAACAAAAAGCAATGAGCTTCTGTTCTTAATTTGAATGATTGCCCAATCTAATTAGACGCTAAAAATATATTAGTGCCTGATGCGGGAAAGGGTTCTCCTATGAGTGGATTATTGATTTTTTTTTAATGAATCCTAATTATTCTCCATTATAGAGTGAAGACAAATGTGTAGAAGAAATGGTATGATCAAACTCCCCATGGAAAGCAACAATAGAGGTACTACCAGCGTTTCTCAATTTCACCCAGTTTGATGTGGTCTGTAGGGAGAGAATCTTGTTTTGGGAGGACCTATGGATTGGGACCAGCCCCTCTTGCAATTTCCCACACTTTACTCCTTATCCAATTACAAGGCTGAACCTGTTTCTAAATTTGGACTGCCTTCAAAAAATGGGTTGAATTGGGATTTCAGTTTTAGAAGAGGCCTAAGGGATGGTGAATACAAGTCTCTTATTCTCCTACTCACAAAACTAGAAAATGTCTTTGTGGACCAAAATATTTCAGATAGTAGAGTTTGGGCTCCCTTGCCTGATGGCATTTTCACTTGTGCTTCATTTTTTTAACATTCTTGTTTTATCTGAGCCTAGGGTAGTGAACTTCCTGGTAATAGAAGTCTGGTGCAAACCCATCCCTCCTAAAGTACAAGCTCTATGTTGGGAAGTGTTTCTCAGAAAGATCAATACCTATGACTTGCTACAGAAAAGAAGGCCAAATAAGTGCTTATCTCCTTTCATGTGTTTCCTTTGCAAGGAAAGTGGTGAGACTCTTCCTCATTTGTTATTCTTCTGTTCCTTTGTATCTTGTATTTGGGAATACATTTGCTTTCTCTTTGGTTGCAGATGGGTTCCCCCACAGGATGTGGTAGAGTTGTTCAACCCCAGCTTCTTGAGGCAACAGAGAAAGAGAGGAAGGATTATGTGGAGGATAGTAAGAGCAGTGGTGGTGTGGAACATTTGGGAATAAAGAAATCAAAGAATCTTCAGTGAGAGGAGCAAGTCTAAGAAGGAACCGATTGAAGTCATAACAGTTAGGACAGTAGTATTGCAATCAAAGAATCTTCCGTGAGTTCCAATCAAAGACATATTAAGGGCTTGGACTGTAGTATTGCAATCAGATAGACTTGTAGAAAAAGTATGGATGGAATGGAGACCTCCAGCTGGGAATAAGATGAAATTGAACTTTGATGGCAGTTCGTTGAGCAATCCAGGAAGAGCAGGCATAGGGGGTGTTTTCAGAAACAACCAAGGAGAGGTAGTGGCCTTGTATTCAAGTCCAGTTGGCTTTAGAGATTCAGTTCATGCTGAAATATGGGCTCTGCAATTTATCAAAAAAAAAGGTCTCTGCTACACAGAATGAGGCTTGCTGTACAACTTGAAATTAGGAAACAGGAAATTGAAGGAGACTCACAATTAGTCATTGCTTGGACAAAGAAAATCAATTTAGCCCCTTGGAAATACAGACAAACATTTAGGGAAATTGATACCCTTGCAAAGAGGTCCAACGCTACTTTGAGCTGGGTAAGGAGAACTGCCAATGGGATGGCGGACATATTGGCAAAACAAGGAGTTGACAGGCCTATTCTATTTTGGGCAATTGTAATATGATGTAATCTGAACTGGGTAAGGAGAACTGCCAATGGGATGGCGGACATATTGGCAAAACAAGGAGTTGACAGGCCTATTCTATTTTGGGCAATTGTAATATGATGTAATCTGAACTGGGTAAGGAGAACTGCCAATGGGATGGYGGACATATTGGCAAAACAAGGAGTTGACAGGCCTATTCTATTTTGGGCAATTGTAATATGATGTAATCTGAATTGGGGAAATGATTTAATGACTGTACTGAATTTATGAATTATTAATGAAATGTTTTTACTTATAAAAAAAAAAGGAGTGGTGGAGGCTGACCAAACATTGTAGGGTTGCTTGGCATAAATACAACTTGTATGCTATTGTTTAGTTGCTGATAAAAAGGATACATATTAAGGGCTTAATTTTCTTTGTTTCCGCTTCAGAAGAATTTTCTCATAAATGAGAATCACTCACTAACTATGGATGAGCTTAATTTGGTATTCCTTCTCCAACTTCTTCAGATGAACTGAAAAAGTGGATCCTCTAAAGGAATATAGAATGTCCAGCAACTTTATATGAAACCCTTCAATGATTTACAAAAAAGTGAAATGTGGAAGATTCACCACCAATTTTTTTTCTACCCCTTTTATCTTAACCATGATAATTGCTTTGTTGCAAATCCACATATTTGAGTTATATACATATTATTGCTTTTATACTCAACATTCTGAAGAGTGATGCTTGATCTTTTGGGGTTCTTTGTAAAGTTTCTACTTTCTACTTGTCATTGACCTCTTACTGGTAGTTTCTTTGTTTGACCACAAGGCTTTAGATCTTTCAAGGGATAATTTATTTCATTTAACATGTGCTTTATAGAACATTTTTTTTATTCTGTTCTACTTGCAGAGATGCTGTACTGTGTTTTGCATGACTGAGTTTAAGATTTAGTTAAGAAATTTGATATATTATTTTTATCAAATACTGCAGGTTTTTGTATTTATAGCAGCTGAGTATGAAACCCCACTGAATTCTCTGAATCAGGTAACCTCTGCAGAAACCTCTGTTCCTATRGATCAGCACAAACTAGAAGTTTAACTCTTATTCTGGTTGAAATTTATGGTTCTTAATTTTTTGTTTTGTATAGGGCTAGTTTTTTTCCCAATGCAAATTTATGTACATACTACATACATATTATGTTAGTGTGTGCGTGCGTGCGCGTGTTTGTATCATAGGGGCTTGGGTTTCTGTTTTCAGACTCCAATTTAGGGCCTGTTCGTTTGCTCTGAAAGTGCAATAATTACATTAAGAGGTATATTGGTATTGGTGAACTTTTTCTTTCCTCTGAACTCCAAATGCAGAGAATGTTGTTCTGAATTCTGAACATTGTCAAATGTCCATTTTAACCCCATACATGAGAATTTTTGTTTGCCTTTTGGGGGTATCATTAGAAAACAAAAAATTGTAAGATTCTACTTTAAGAGATAAGAGATAAGAGATAAGAGTAAACGAACACCCTTTTTCCTCTTAAAGTTATAAGATTCCTCTTAAGAGATAAGAGTTAAGAGGAAACGAGCATACCCTTAGACAAAAAACTGAAAACAACTCCAACTGCTTCAAAACTAAGGCAAATGCATAGGTAACTCATATAGAAACTTAAGTAAGGACTAAAACAACTTAAATAGGAACTTCAATGATTGACTAAAAGTAGGAAGACCAAAATCCAGTCAAAGATTGACACCCTTTCATTAATGGTCTAGCTAAGCAAGGAGTTCAAAGACAATCTATGTTCTGGGTTATGCTATAGTTAGTGCCTTAGTGGGATTCCTTTGGCTTTTTTTGGGGGACTGTTGTAACCAGTGGATTTGTTTGTTGGGTTATGCTTGGATTGTGTTGTAATTAGTGGGCTTTCTGTGGACTTTTCGTCTACCCACAACTTCTTGTTGTACATGTCCTTTTAATCTAATGAATCATTTCTGTGTTGCTGATCAAAAAAAAAAAAAACATGATTGCATCTTCAACTATTCAAAATTTTACCGTCTCTGTAACACGACTAAAAGGCCTTTACCAAATGTTAAGTCCCAGGCTCCCAGCTATGTGTGGTTTCGGGAGGGGTAGACCGGACATGGTCCTATCCCTTTGGCATTTTTTATTCAAAGTGGCTGCTCTCAGTCTTGTCTTCGAACCCATTTTCTCACGCTTGCCAGTCTGAGACTCTTTAACAAGACTCTTTAAACTAATTTGACACTTTTAAGTGACTTACCACATTCCTTAAGGCACTGACAAGCTAGAAAATAACTAGGTTGAAAGAAAAATTACGTGTTTGCATCTTCAACTTTTTGAAAATTTACTAACTCTCTAATAATTTTTTAAACTAATCTAAAAAAAGCTTCAAGCCAGGTTGTACATCTCCCCTAATGTTTACATCATGTGCTTTAGTGAAGGTGAATCAATAGGCCATCTCCTTATTAATTGTAAAGTGGCTAGAAATTTGTGGCAATACTTACTTCTGCAGGGGGGGGGAGCTTAGCTGGACTCCCCCAAATTCTGTAGGGGGAGTTCATTTACTGTTGGCAAGGGCTGAAGATCAAATTTGGCAAGAGAGGAAGATGCTTTAGGAAAGCTGCTATTCATGCTGTCATGTGGAATATTTGGGAAGAAAGAAACAGGAGAATTTTTGAAGAGAAATATTCTTCCTTGGAGACTCTACGATTTTGTGCCCAAGCTAATCTTAATATCTGGATGGTGAATAGTAAAGTCTTTGCTGATTTCAACCTGGGTGTCTTGCAAAGAAATTGGTCAGAATTAATGTTGACTTCCCCATTTCATTCTCAACCTCCTATTACAATCACCCCAAGATAAGAGAGTGAGTATATCCTAAACTTTGATGGAAGTTTCAGGAAGACCATTGAGAGTTCATCTGAAGCTGGAATTGGAGGTCTTTTGTGCAGATCTAATGGAGACTTCATTTAAGTATTTAGTGGCCCCTCTGAGGCAAATGATGTTGTGGAATCAGAGATTTGAGTCCTTGTTGAAGCAGTGATTTAAAAGGCGCGCCTAGGCGCATAAGCGAGGCGCATTTCAGGGTATGCGCCTCGCCTAGGTCCTAGGTGCAGCCCTTTCAAAAGGCGCACACCTGGTGTGCCTAGGCGTGCGCCTGATGTGCCTTTCGCCTCAGCCCAGGTGTGCGCCTTTTGAAAATTTGACGTTTTTTAGCTTTTTTTGAACGTAGYGGCTGGGTTGGGGGCTCCGCCTCCGGACCCCCATGCCACGCCCCTCGAGGCAAGCCCAAACAAGTCCACGTTAGGTCTTAAATTCTTAGGCGCCGTTTGGTGCGTCTTTTTGTGCGGTCTTTCAGCTGTTTACAAGYTGGGAAGACCGAAAATCGGTCTATTCCCGTTTGTAAGCCGAGAAGACCGAAAAGACGTGCAAAGCCCATTTTGGGCTGATTTCGGGAAGCTTCAAATGAAGTTTCTCGTGTCTTTCACGTTTTAATCTTGTGCGGAAAGACCTGAAATGACGCATGAAAAGACGCACGTTTGCCAAACGGTCTTCAGGCTGCYCAAATCTTATGTCAAAAGCTCAATGCGTCTATTGACCGTCAGAGCTACGAGAAGATCTTCTCAAAAAGACTTTCCAAACGGGCCCTTARTTTTCACACAAAAAATAATGATTTTATAGCTTTGATTGCTTTTTAAGAAGACATTTTATTAGGATGAATGAATGAACAACATTACCAAATTGGGGGTTCTACTCCGCTCAGGTTTGCTCGCTCATCGAAGCTCCGAGAACCCCCAATTTGGTAATGTTGTTCATTCATTCATCCTAATAAAATGCCTTCTCAAAAAGCAATTAAAATTATAAAATCATTATTTTTTGTGTGAAAACTAATAATTTAAGACCTAACGTGGACTTGTTTGGGCTTGCCTTGAGGGGTGTGGCACAAAGGCGGCTCGTAGAATCAGGATGTAATATGTTTTACATTACATTAGCTACTTGAAGTAATGCAATTGAATGAAAAAAGAGAATAGAGGTTTTACATGCTTGAAAATGTTTTATATGTTTGATTTTATTTTTAAGTTCTCATTTGAATATGCTTTACATCTTATGTTTATGTATTTTAATTTTAGATAATAGGTTTTTTAAAATTTAAGTTTATATTTTTTATTAATATTTTTTGAATTTTTTGGCATTTGTTTGAATTTTCTGACATTTTTTTTTATTTTTTAGCATTTTTTTTGTATCTCTGCGCCTTGCTTCAGAAAGGTGCGTGCCTCGCCTTGCACCTTGCGCCTCAGGTGTAAATTGATCCCTGTGCATTTTTTGCGCCTTGCACTTTTAAAACATTGCGTTGAAGGCCTCAAGGTTGCCAAKTTGCAGACTTGCAGCAGTTTAGATCCATTTCAGTAGAAGGGGACTCAAGGAATGTCATAAATTGGGCATTTGGACATACCCTTGGTCCTTGGAAGCTCTCTCACCTTTGGTTTGAAATTCATGAGATTTCTTCCTGCTAGCAGCGTAGTTTCAGATGGATTCCCAGAGAGTTAAATCAATTGGCAGATAACCTAGAAAAACTTGGGTTGGGAAGGGACTGTTTGTGTAGTGCAAAACTGCAAATACATTACCAAGTAATTAATGGGCCTTTTTTTTCCCTGTTGACGGGGCCTTGTATATGTTCTCATGTACATCTCTCCCTTTCTTTTAATGAAATCAGTTATCTTTCTCAGAAAAAATACTTATTAAACTAATCTGACCCTTTAATGTATAATGACTAACCCTATTCCTAAAACACCATCAGACTAGAAAATAACTATCAAAAGATTCAAATTGACCAAAAATAGAAACACCCAGAAATTATGAAATTGTCACGTGATAAGAAATAGAGATATAACCAATTTCTTTCTCTATGGATTCTTTCCTTTGTTTTTGTACTGCATCAACTATCAAGTAACATTATGATGTCAACTGCATCAACTATCCTCATGTCTGAATTTGGTCAGGTTAAGAGTGGGTTCCACAAGTTTAGGAGAATTGTGAGTAACTTTAAGAGGGTGGGTCCCATGTCTTGGGTAAAGGTATGTTAGGAATTCGAAAGGGGAGAATTCAGTGAAGAACTAGAGCAAGGCTTGGCACGGCTTTCAATATCCATCAGAAGGTCTTGGTAACCATTTCGTCGGAGGATGATGCTTCTAATGCCTGATTTATTGGGTGTGACTCAGGGACTGGCGAGGTTTTTTCGAGTTTGGGTGAGGCACTTAAAGATTCGCAGGGCGAGGTTTTCCTGTCTCTTGATGATGCTAAAGGTAAGCAAGATCCGCATTCTTCATCTTCTTGCTTGGAGCTGAGTCAGGAGAATGGGGGTTTTGTTTCTTGTCTCTAGGAGGAAGTCTTGGAGAGGGAGTCAGTAATGAAGGAAGTGAGTGAGTGTGGGGTGGAGAAGGCGGAAGAAGGGTCGAACAACAAAACTGAGGTAGGGGAGGAAGGAGCCAATATTGAGGTAGGAAGTGGCTTTTCAGATTTTGAGGGCGAGAAGTGAGTGTGGGGTGGAGGCGGAAGAAGGGTCGAACAACAAAACTGAGGTAGGGGAGGAAGGAGCCAATATTGAGGTAGGAAGTGGCTTATCAGATTTTGAGGGCGAGAAGGGGGTTGATTTGTATCTCCAAGATAAGGTGATTAGGAACAAAGCCAATTATGTGGTTTCCAAAGTGGTTGTTGGAAGGCTAGGATTGGATTTGGGCCGCAGGGGCAAGGAGAAGAGTTTGGCTGGAAGTGGTGAGGTTTCGGAGATCCCAAAGAAGACTAGAGTTTAAAACAAGCTCAATGTGGTTCATGTTACGAAGGTTTTCTCAAGGTTGAAAGATGGTTTGGTGGGAACTAGGCCGACTAATAAGTATAAAAGGATTTACAAAAGAAAAGGGGTTAAACTTAGTTCCCTGAGTCTTGAGAACCCATGTTTGGAGTGATCTCTCTCTTCTGAAGGGGCTAGAAAGATCTCCCCTCTGGTGGATTCCCAAAGAATGGAGTCGAAAGAGCCTGATTGTTCAGGAAAAACAACTTGGACTGAATCTAATTTGAAAGAGGCTCCTGTTAATGTGTTAGCGGGGGATGAGGCAATAGAGAAAAGAGGAGTGGACTTGAAGATTCTAGTTGACAGAGAGGTGGAAATTGGCAAGTCTCTGGGCTTGTTCTTCTTAGGAGAAGACTTTGCTAGAAGAGCTTCTGAAGCTTTGGAGAAAAAGTGGAAGCTTGAAAGCATGAGAAAGGTTCCTGAAGCGTTAGGGGAGAAATTTGGGATGAGGAAGGAGGTCCAGATGAGTTTGATGAGTCGGAAGATTAATTCGCGCATAGTATCTGCTTGGCTGGAGTAGTGTTTGCTGCGCTAGTGCATTCTCATGTTTTCTTTCCTTGTTTCTTCTTTGATGTAGGCGGCTAGCTGATGTAGTTGATGGGTCTGGGGGGTGTTATCTTAACACCTGCCTTTATTTTGTATTCAGCCTTTTCTTTTTCAATAAAACTTTTCTTGTTATCTGTCAAAAAAAAAAAAAACATTATGTTGTCAACTGCAAGATGGATTCCACCATAAGCAAACTAGAATTTGGTCACTTAAATGTTTGAAGATTAGAAGGCGTGTAAACATTATAAATGGTTGTCCTTCATATTCAGGTTTTTGTTTCTGAGGAAATATGTCTTCTGTTTCACCTGATTTTGACTTCACTAAAAACAGGTTTCACTTTGGGATGGTATCATACCGTCAAAAGAGCATGCAAAAATCTGGATCCACACAACAAACAAGTATCGTTTTTCAGATCAGGTGGGTACTTCTTTACACCTAAATCGTGGAGCTGAATATTATGTTTGCACATAAGAATCATGTGCCTAATCCCTTCTTTAAAATTTTTATGACAATATTTATTTTTCCATTCTCTTTTTCCTTCTAAAGGGAAGCAATCTTCGGGGCAAAGAATTTAACTTGACGTTGCATTGGCATGTCATGCCCAAGACTGGTAAGATGTTTGCTGACAAAATAGTTATGACTGGATACCGCCTGCCAGATGAGTACAGATAATGGGGCGCCTGTCTTCTGAGATGTACCTTTGATCTTTTTCTCCATGATGGATATGGAAGAAGTTAGGCAGAATGGTAAGGGAGTAAACAGGGAATTTTAGGTTTTGGGAATGGAAAAAGAAAATTAAAAATTGAAGTTTCTCTGGTTTTTCTACAATTTTTGTGCAGTAATTCTAAGATGGAAAAGAAAACTCTGTATCCTTTAATTATTGAGCTAATGTTGTTTCGGTTGATTGACTGGATTAGATTGAACTTTCCCTGCGACACATCATGATATCATTTATCATCTTTAATTTTTATTTCTAGCATTATCATTAGCAAAAAAGATGTTCTTTTTGATCTGATAACTAAGAGGTGCATTCTTATTGCTGTCAAAATGTGAAATGAGAAACTCTTCAAAGATAATGTTCCACCACGTCTCAGAACATGGAAAACAGTTGGGAATATTTGTTGTCAAGTACAGGTGCATCAAGTTTTAAGGATTTGTTCTCTGCCATCCTATAGAACAGAAGTTACAGAACTGTCTTTCTGTTCCAGTGCACTCTACCATGCAAAAATCTTTTATTGGTAGATTTCTGTTCCAGTGCACTCTACCACGCAATGGAGCAATATCCATAGTGCAACATCAAGGTTATGGACTCTACACTACCAAATTCACCTTACAATCCGGAGTCCGCTAGTCTAGAATCTCTAGATCTATAATTCACAAATTTTCTCAGATTCTCGGTAGTCGGTACACAGAATATATGATTATATATACCAAGCCAATGAAATAGTTCAATTTAAGGCAGAATGTCACTTCATTGATTAGACATTTCAAGTAGGGCTTGTAGTTGTATTGTAGTTCTGATTTCTGGATCCTGAAATAGTTCAATATAAGCCATGAGAATGTTAAGGAGAGGCTTGAATGGTATAGTAGAGTTTCAGGTCAGGCCATAAAGTTTTCGGAAGTCTCATATTTTATTTTAGTTGGAACAGTCCAGCCAGATTTTCTTTTTGCTAATTTCTTGGTATTTTTGCTTCCCATGGCAACAAGAAGGGAACAACTAGCTCGATCTTCTCACAGAGGTAGCTCTTAGCTCGATCGTTGGTAGGTTCTACTCAGAACTCAATGGAACCGACCTTACCCAATTTGTTATAAGGTATATATTATCATTGTTAAAAATCAATTTTTTAAAAGACGTGTTTCACTTTTTTAAGAGGGGGAGTAAACAAATAACAAGTTCCATGGATAGACCTTGGAATCAACCCCAGAACCGATTTTTACAAGGTAGGTTCCGGTTCTAGATTCTGCTATGGAACCGAATCGAGTCGACCCATGCTCACCCCTACTCGCAGCTGTGCATTGCAAATATTGGAGTTCCCAATGCATGACTACAAAAAAGGCTGAGGACGGTATAAAAGATAGTCATGTGAGGACCAAATCCGATCCCAAGTGAGAGGGTTTCTACGTTTGGGGTATGTTATTGAAACTACGGTTGTTGAGCACAGTGTTGTGGAGAAGCTATTCGAAATAACTTCATATTTAAGTAGTGGTTTAGGCATTTGACTTTCTGGATTTTTACCAAACACAATTTCTAGCATCGCCATGTCGGGCTCAGCTTGGAATTCCATAAGCCACATCTGGAAAGCTCCCAAATGGGCACTCAAGCACCAAGAAACATTGTCAACAAGGCTCTTAAAGAGGAGATACTTCTAACCAATGCTAGTGTTTTGTATACATGTGATAGTTTGAGATATATGACAATGCAAGCAACAACTAGCAGGTTTGGACTTGAAATGGAATGAATTCCCCCTCAATTTGTAGGGTTACAAATATTAGGACTTTGGATCTTCTCCCAGCAAAAATATCCTTTCAACACGTTTCAAGGGCCATGGATCATGTTGTAACGTGTTGGAAGAGTTTTTGGGGTAAATTACTAAGACCACTTATACTATGGGGTCAATGATAAATACTCCCTGAACTTTTACTTTGCAACAAATATCTCTTTCGTTAGAGTTTCGTCAATTAACTTCAAAAAAGATTCTCATTCAGATGTTTAAAATGTTTAAGCCCCAAACTACCCCTTTCTTATTTATTTGAATGATTTATGATTAGATTAGTTTTCTAAATAYAACATTGAAGTCTTATCGATTGCTCTAATAGATCCTTACAGATTTTTGGTTGGATTTGATATTCAAATGAAATGGTAGAGGTTTCTTTTCAATGGATATAGATTTATGGGTCGATTTGGTTTTTCTTGATTTATTGGAGAAAGGAGTGAATAATTTTTATATTTTAGATGAAGAGAGATGTTCATGTCAATGAAATAAATCAATAATTAAAAAAAGTCTATACTAACAAAGTGATTCTTGTAATTTTAGATGGTTTCATTTGGAGAAAATAGAGGCATTTTTAGTTAATTAGGGTTTAAGAGAAAAGAGAAAGGAAAAGAAAATAAGGGGGTATTTGTCGCAAAGTGAAAGTTTAGGTCTTTGACATAAACCCCATAGTATAAGGATGTCTTTATAATTTACCCTTTTTTGTTTTTTTTTTTCTTTATGGTTTGCTCTCCCTTACAAATTTTTATTGGTTTTTGAGTGTATTGTCCGAAAYCCCTACCCATGTTACAATACCCTCTTGAACTTTAAGTTGTAACAAATACCCCTACACATTAATTGATGGAATGTGTTTTAGATGTATGGGCATTGATAATGTTGGAACTTGTTGGAAGAGTATACTGATAAAAAAGAAAAAAGAAAAAAGAAAAAAAAAACATGTTGGAAGAGTTTTTGGGTAAATTACAAAGGCCCCCTTCACTATGGGGGTCAGTGATAATGTGACAAACCCTCCTAAATTTTCACTTTGCAACAAATGCCCCCTCCGTTAAAGTTCTTTCAATTAACTTTGAAAAAGAATTTCATTCAGCTGTTTACTTCAATAGATCCTTACAATACAATGGCTAGATTSAATATTAAAATGAAATGGTAGAGGTTTCTTTTTGATAGATATAGATTTATGGTTTCATTTGGTTTTTCTTGATTTATTAGAGAAATTAGTGAATAATTTTTATATTTTAAGATGAAGAGCATTCATGTTAGTGAAATGAAACAAGAATTTAAAGATTCTTGTTTTTCTAAATTAGTGAATTAACAGGCAAGAGTATTTGTTGTGAAGTAAAAGTTCAAGGAGGCCAAATGAAAGTTTAGGGGATTTTTGTCATTGGAGTTCAGCTTTGATCAGTGCAAAGCCCATCCAAACAGCCTTTACAAACTTGCATTAGGAATATCTCCGTATTTATGTGCTTTATTTCATAAGGAGATATTTGAAATGCAATATTGTAAGAGGCTGTTGGAAAGGTGTGGGCACAGGTTACATTGATTGAAGCCGAACTCGTCACTGGCCCTTATTTTTTATTTTTATTTTGAGAGAAGATCACAAACTCTTTATTTGTAACCCAACGAGTTAGAGGGGGGAATTTGTTCCAAGTCCGAATATGCCACTTGTGAATTGGGATTTTTTGGAGCTCACATCAGCCCCCACAAAGAGATGCCCACAACGTCCCACAACACATCCCAACCGTGTATTGGGAACATCTCCCAATGATGATTTATCATTTCATGTATCATCATGGGAGATGTTCTCACTTCTCAATACACCACTGGGATGTGATGTGGGATGTTGTGGGGTGCCTCTTGTGGGGGTTGATTTGAACTTGATCTTTTGCCAATACAATAAGTTCCAACTCTCTACCAGCTTGATCTAATACTGCATACTTATCTTATCATGAGATTGAGACCCAGTGGAACCTGAGATGTGCGGTGTGAGATTATGTTGATAGCTTGTAATGAATTTTGTTGGCAGGTGATCCGCGCACCGCTGTGCATCAGGGGGTGGGGCATGTACACGTAACACTGGCGTGTACGTAGCGTTCAATACTTCAATACACAGCGGGGCGAGAGCGAACAGTAATCCGGAATTGGTTGTTCCTCACTTCAGTTCTTTGTTCTTTGTGTTGGTTGTCGGGCTTCGGCTTCCTTCGGTCGGTCTCTGCTCACTCTGCTCTATTTATTTATTTATTATTAAAAAATAAAGACCTAAAAAGCTCTTCAAATTTCCAAAAAGGACAAAACACAGACAGAATAATACTACGCGGAAGTTCATTACCATTGGTGGTCACACTACTCAGACACACTGGTGGTGGTTGGTCAGAACCCAGAAAGCCTCAAGCATTACAGAGTAAACAACCGTGTTGTTTGTAATGGCATGGCCTTCCCCTCATCCTCGATCCAAAACTTTGCAGCTTCCCTTACCCTTCTCTCCATTCTTCTTTTCTTCCTATTTTTCCCTCACCCCTTCAATAACCAACCCCACCCAACCTCAATAATCCCCCATAGATCCCTCCTCAACCAATCATCTCCTTCCTGCTCTTCCATCCTCCAAATCCCACCTCATCGACGCTGTTCTTTCTCCATCTCACACTGCGGTGGAGACTCCAATGGCCTCTTCAACTATTCTTCTCTCCACTTTTGCGTTTTCGGAGAGAATCGGTTTCTTTCAATCCCCTGTCTCGCTCTCATTCTTCTCCTCCAGTTCTATATCCTTGTCAAGACGGCGCAGGATCGATTCTCCATCGTCGTTACAAAGCTAGCCACCCTTCTAAATCTCTCTCCTAGCATGGGCGCAGTGACCCTTCTTGCTCTTGGCAATGGTGCGCCTGATGTGTTCGCATCGGTTGCTGCCGTTCGCGGCGGCCACCCACGGACGGGTTTCGGTGCAATTCTCTCGGCGGGTACTTTCGTTTCGGCCTTTGTTGTTGGTTTTGTTGCAATTTATGCTGCTCCCTTCTCCGTCGATCCAGCTCCATTTGTGAGGGATGTTTTCTTCTATTTGATTGCGGCACTTTGGTTGTTCTCTGTGTATTTGAGTGCGGAGATATTTCTTTGGCAGGCAATTGGGTTTGTTGGGTTTTATATTTTTTTCGTGGGGTTCGTGTTTTGGATGGATGTGGGGATCGAAAGAGGGAGGAAGGGGGATGAAGCTGAGATGAGCTTAGTTGGGGAGGTTCAGAAGGGTCTGATAAGGTCAGATTGCGAGTATGGAGAAGTGATGTTGAATGTGGAGAGAGAAAAGCCGAGTTTGGGACTTCTAGGAGCTCTTGGAAAGGTATGTTTGAGATCATAATTTGCAATTTCTGCTTCTCATGTTTATAAGTTTCTAAATCATATTTACTATTAGATCGGCTTCTCTGATTATGTTATTGAGATCTATCATTAGAAAATTTGAAATGTGTCTTCTGTTATGCCGTTAGCCTTGGCTCAGTTTTCATGTGATCCCTGGGGCAATAAGTTCCTTTAGGGTTCCAGATTTGCATTTTTGTATGTTTCTGTGCTAAATCAATTGTTTATGATGTACTCAACTACTTGTTTAAGTCTTTAGCATATAAGGAATGTTAGGTTGGGAGTTTATTTAGTTGACTTTGTCCTTCTAAATTTTAAACTAAGGTTGAATATTAATGTTTTGAGAATTTTTGTTTAGTTAGGAAGCCGGTTATGTTATGACTTATGAGGGCCAAACCAATTACATCGCTAAACATAGAAAGAATGGTTTGACTAGGTAAACTAATGACTAGTTGACCTAGTGAACCTCAAACTTATTTTAAAGCTTTATTTGTTTATTTATTGTTATTTATAATGATATCATATATGGTATGTATATTTTGTAATGTACATACCAGTGGATTTAAGCATTTGTGGTGGTATATGAAATAGAAATCAGGCATAAAACAAAAGAACAGTAGAAGAGAAGTTATACCTTATTCAAAAAAGGTAAAAACAGTAGAAGGGGAGTTCCCTTGAGTGTTCTTCTGATCAGTGATATGCTAGTAAGGAGTTGCAACAAACCAGGGGACCACATCAAATAGTCAAGGTTGCACTCTTTCCTTTAAAAAACAATGACTGAACTATCCATTTCTCCCTATCCAGCCTTCCTTTTTATGTTTGCAAACAAAAACTGTTCTATATCGCCTTTTATTACATGAGAAGTGTCATGTTGCTAGTTGAAGGGGCTAGAAGGGCTAGGGCAACCAAAAAGGACACGAATTATAGTAAGAAATAATTTAAGTGGTAATAATTTAACCAATGTATATAGCACTAAACAGAACAGAAGTGCAAAATAAGATTCACATAGCCAAACAGTGTATTCTCTTAATTTTCCTAATGAAAGTTACTGTTTCTGATAAAAAAAGCCAACCCCATATGGTTGGGACAAGGCTCAGTTGATAATGATGATTAATTGTATATGAGATTGCTTCAATATCTTAAATTTAGAATATACATTTCTTTTAGTTGACTAGCTAGTGCCTAGACGCTTACACCTTCTAGCTTCTGTTGTACAAAATTAGGTATTTGTGCCTTCATAAGTCCTGTGCTGTGTCAACGACTTGCACAAGCCTAAAGTTGCTGTGCTTTTCTTCATGGGATTTATCTTATGATAAATTGCCATAGAAAAAGATAATCAGTGTCTTCAAACATTTGAGGAAATTGGGGGTTCCCTCCTATATCTTCATAAAAAAGATAATCAGTGTCTTCATAGGACTTATATTATGGCCTGAAGTTGCTATAAATGTAATAGTAATTAAAATGTTGCTTCTGTAGGTTCTCTATTTCTCTGTCTTGGACTTCTTGGTTAGCATTCGGGGTTCCCTCCCATGTCCTCTTCTTCCAGCCATAGAATTAAAAGGTTGGCAGAAAATATCAAATTTACAACCAACTACATAGACTCCAAGTGTGAGGATGTTCTTGATTCTGGAACCTACAGTAGGGAACTAAGAGAAGAGATGGAGAAGACCAAACAAGGCATCCAGAACATGATGAACATAAGAGGTGTCAAAGCTTTTGATACAATTTGCCTTTCCTTTTCTTTTTCTCTTCTCAAAATTGGCCTTTTTCCACATTTAAAACTTAACAAATTCTCAACTGAGGCCTGCCCAAGTTGCAGTCTTAACCACTCAATTACTAAACTCCTACTATTTGAATCTTACAACTACTTTGTAATTAACAAGTCAGCACAAAATAAAAAGCTTTTTATCTATCCTTATCCAGATGTTGATTCCTGGGTTCTATTAATGACATAACTGGCCTCGTAATACATGTCTATATTAGGCAAATATTACTGTTATATTATCCAAATATCATTGTTAAACAGCAGAATTTTTTAAAAGCAGGTCCCGTTTTCCACATTTCCTGTCAATGACATTCCTTAGCAGGAGGTAATGCAAATAGAGATAGCCTATAATTTTTACGTAAATCATTAAAGTTTTGCTTTATTTTATTCCAATAGTTTATCAATTGCATGCTTAAGAAAAGGGGAAAGAGATTGATATTCAGCTCAATCTTTGATTGGCAAGACAAGCATCAATCTTTGGAAGGTATATAAAAGTATCCAAGGAGGAGACAGTTTATCCATCCATCCATCTATGTTCTAGCTACCTTTTCCTTGTCCTACACAACTATGCTTTTTATAACATAGAGGCACACTAACTAAAAGGGCTTTAGTTTCCACATCATGTATCTCGGGCTATCCAGGTCAGTGATTGAAAAGGCGTGCCTAGGTGCACAGGTGAGGCTTTTTTCAAGGCTTGCACCTTTTCCAGGCTCAAGCACAGCCACTTTAGAAAGTTCCGTGTCTAGTGTGCCTTGTGCTTCATCCTAGGCATGTGCCTTTGTTAAATTTGATGCTTTTTGTACTTTTTTAAGCATGGTGGTTGGACTGGAGGCTCAGTAAAAAGCAACTCATAGAATTAGAGTAATGTAATTGGGAAAGAAATAAAGAGCTTCAAAGTTTCACATGCTTAAATTGTTGAGTTCTTGAATATGTTTTATATGTTTAATTTTATTTTTACATTTCCACTTTTATATGCTTTATGTGTTATATTTATGCATTTTAAYTTGAGCTAATAGGCTTTTTAAAGCATTTGGTTTAAAATTAAGTATGTATTTTTTAATAAATATTATTTTTAAAATTTTTCATTTTTTGAAAATTCTTAAGAATTTTGCACCTTGCTTCAAAAAGGTGTGTGCCTTGCCTTTCACTTTTAAAACACTATTCTAGCCAAACCTTAGAAGCTTTCCATCATTGTTTGAGATGGTTCCTCCACAGACAACTCTATTTTCAATGAATTATTGTGAACTTACCTTGGTATGTGGCATTGAGTTCCAGATATTCATGTCTGGATGGATATTTGGTATCAACCTCTAGAAATCCTGGTATAAGGCCATGGCCCTAAAAAGGGCCATTACTGTATCTTGGGTCCTTGCTTTCTGGGGTCTTGGGAGGGCTGAAATGGATACAGCTCTAACCTTTGGCATTTTTTGCGCAAAGTGGCTTCTGTCAGACCTAACCCCCCATTCTCACACTTGTCAGCCTGATATTTTACCATTGCATCAAGCAATAGCCTTTTGCAGAGGGCCATGGCTCTAAATAAAAAAGGAAGGGAAAATTTCTTATACCTCCTCTGACACAAAAAGGTACTAACCTCCCCTGTTTATTGACATGACAAGGCACCCCCTCTTCACATATTCTTCTGTTGGTTGCTGTTGACATGTAATCAAACATGATATGTGTGATCAGAGCATGATTAATAGCTGGGAGCTCATGGTTTGGGTCTCCAGAGCGGTAGAGGATCATTCTCAGTCATCTTGATGGTTGAGATGATCGCACGGTTGTCTGACAGACTTCTCTCTTTATGCTTATAAATGTAGAGAACACTGATGTGGGCCCCACGGATGTGGGCCCCACTGTGTTCGTATGACAGCACATCATGCACTCTTTGTTAGTTATGTCACTGGTAGTTGGTAGTTATTTCAGACAGCTTGTTATTTCAGCTTATTATATTAGTTTATTTGCCATGTAAGCATTAAGGGCAATTGTGCCTTTTTCTACAGTTAGTAAACTTATAAATATTAAGAGTGGGGCGGCAGATTCATTAATTCAGCCCCTCTCTCTCCTTTCTAAAATCCTTGTGTACTTTTCTTCTCCTTTTCCTCCTTTCTTCTTCTTCTTCTTTTCTCCATCAAAATCTTTTTTTCTTTTTGATTCAAGACTTATTGTAGTCTTGATCGACTACTTGGTATCAGAGGCAATCTAGGGTTTCTCATGTGTGTCTAGTCCAGCCAACCACATGAGAACTGCCTAGGGCTGGAAGCTTAGAAAGAACTGTTCGTTGGCTGATTCTTGGAGGTTACCAGAAGGGTTTAGCAGCTGTCCGAAGGCTTGTAGAGGCTTGGAGAGTGTTTTGGTAATCAAGAAGAATCAGAGAAGGTTCAAAGGATCGATATTAGGGTTTAGGCCAAGATTGAAGGTGGCGATAAGAAGTTTCTGGGTAAGTTTTTATCTTTCCTTGAGATCGTCATCAGTCAAGGGTTTGTTAGACTTATCTAGGAGGAGCGACTGAGCTCTCCTTTATTTTTCAGAGGCAATCAGAATTCTCTGATTTTTTTAGGGTTTTTTCCTTAACCCTACGATCAAACCCTAAATCAGTTTCAGCATTCCAGACTGTTTTTTAAGTGAGTTCTAGGCTTGTTTCGGCTCCAAAGCCTGTTTTGGGGGTGAGAACCTTCATCAAGAATTGGAACAGCTTACATTCAGAACTGTCGATTGGTTTCAGATCAGATCTGAACTAGGTTCACCCTCAAATTCAGAACTGTCGATTGGTTTCGGATCAGATTCGAACTGAGTTCACACAGAATCCTGTTTCCTTTGTTTGTGGAAGACCTAGGCTGATTATGATCAGTTGTTTAAGTGCTGTTTTTCTTATTACAGTAGCTCTAACAGTTTTTGATTACTGATTCTTAACCAAGAATGGAGTTCAAGAATCAGGGGGAAGGTGTTTTTGGGACTAGCAATTCTGGTAATATGTTTGAAACTGCATTTCAGATTACAACTGTGAGGTTTGATGGATCCAACTACTTAGAATGGGCCCAATCAGCCATGATGGCTATTGGGGGAAGAGGAAAACTTAGCTACCTATTGGGAGATGTGAAAGAACCATCCAAGTAGGACCAAATGTATACCAAGTGGGTTCAGGAGAACTACTTGGTTATGACATGGCTGTGCAACTCTATGCAGCCACATATAAGCCGAAACTATTTGTGGGCAAAAACAGC